TACTGGCCAAATATTTATTAGAAACTTCTGGTAACTTAGATGGTCTGGAATATAAATTGCATGATTTTGGGTACAGAGGAGTCTCTTCCCAAGAGGTAAGACATTATGATGATGAACCTCACTTAATACAGTGTGGATTGTGGGTTTAGAATGGGATATAATTGCAATCAACAAAATCGTCTATGTCCTTTATGTAATGGGTAATTAAACACATATGCACTATGTCAGATGTCAGATAATGTTGTAGAGAAATACAGGTAAGAGAATAGAGGGTAATATTTTTTGGGTGTGGGTACTATTAAATAGATCTTTTTTTTTTAAGAGGTAATAATATTTGAACCCTTAAAATATTTGAAAGAAATGAATCTTGGTCATAAGGAACCATTGCCTCTGGTAATAGTTTAATATCTCTCCAAGAATAGCTAAAGAAAATTATTTTGTGTCTAGTGCCACATAGACCCCAACTAAAGGTTTTTATTTATTGTATTTGTGTATGGTTTATTTTCCAGACTGCTGGCATAGGGGCCTCTGCTCATTTGGTTAACTTCAAAGGAACAGATACAGTAGCAGGGATTGCTTTAATTAAGAAATACTATGGAACAAAAGATCCTGTTCCAGGTTATTCTGTTCCAGCTGCAGAACACAGCACCATAACAGCCTGGGGGAAAGACCATGAAAAAGATGCTTTTGAACACATAGTCACACAGTTTTCATCAGTGCCTGTATCTGTGGTCAGCGATAGCTATGACATTTATAATGCGTGTGAGAAAATATGGGGTGAAGATCTAAGACATTTAATAGTATCAAGAAGTACAGAAGCACCATTAATAATCAGACCTGATTCTGGAAATCCTCTTGACACTGTTTTAAAGGTAAAAGTTAACATATGACTTAATTAAAAAGCATGTAGATCAACTGTATCAAAACTGATTGTCATTTCATTTGTAAATAACACCATTTCAGAGCTGTCTCCTTATTTCAGAGTTATAGACCAGAAGAAGTAATAGATTTATCTATGGTCACACATTAATTAATAGAGAAGGGTGTTAGTAATTTGTATACTGTCAAATCATAGTTGTGTACTATTGAACGGATTTTTTTTTTCATATTTCAAGATTAATTTATAGCATTATGCCATTTTGATTAATCCTGTAAAATAGTCACTCTGTTTATTTGTGGTTTCTTTTCCTTTATCCCAAGTCACAGATATATGAGGTTTTCAGGCCAAAAGAAATATATTCAGTGTGTTGTGGATTAAAAATAATTAGAAAATACTTCTCCTGTAATGGTTCTTTGAAATAATGTGGCTTTTCAGTACATCAGTGTTAAGTATTGAACTGAAGATATATTTTTAATATTTAAGACTTGATTTGTCATCTTTGAAAAATGCTAATAAACATAAACTTAAGCATAGCAGAGATTGTAAGAAATGCGCAGAATTGGACAGGGTTCAGTCTGTTGTTTTGTGAGTATAGTTGAGTTGACAGTACCTAACAAGAACAACTGAAACAATAGAACATAGGTTATTTTATATAACTACAAAAGGTTAGGACCTTTTAAACAAAAGTTTAAAAGAGCTCATACACAGTATTAAAATTTTAAAGGTAATTTGATGAGTTTTTATATTCTCAAGCAGAGTATTGGAAGTTTGTTGGCTTGCTTTGTTTTTAATAAGAGCTTACATTTATTTTCAGTTGTAGTTATTTTGTATTGGTTGTGTTTTTTTCCATACAGGTTTTGGATATTTTAGGCAAGAAGTTCCCCGTTACAGAGAACTCAAAAGGCTACAAATTGCTGCCACCTTACCTTAGAGTTATTCAAGGAGAT